TTACCCTTTAATTAACGGAAAAACTAACGAAATATGAATGGAAGGACGTCCAGAGCAAAGAAAGGTTGAAATGAGGGCAAAAATGCCAAAAAATGAAAGGTAGGGACGTTTTCCACAATAGACTTGAAAGGTAAGGACGTTTTGTGCCAATTACCCAATATTTGTCTGCTAAAACATTATAATTAACAAAGAAAAATGTACAAAAGAGGACATCCAAATATGCAACCACTTGGATTGCAAATTATATATCTAATTAGTTTTGCATTGTGCTTGTGGACACTCGCAATTTGGTTTGAACTTCCAGAAGAAACCCACATTCTGAAAGAAAGAAGATCCAAAATAGCTTCGTTTAAAAGATCACATTCGTTTTGGTGGCTTTTCTTCATTCATCATCTTGGTATAGTAGTTGATACTTAAACGGAGAGAGAGGAAAGAAGAACATTGCAATTCATTAACTTTTGGTTTATAAAAAGCATGTTTCCATGCTGTATAAATTAGGAAGATCGAAGGGTTAGAAAATTATTATCTACTAATAAGATAATATAACCAAATAAACCAAAATGTATGAATTAATGTCCTTAAAAAGAAATTAAGGATATTGTGATTATCTACTAATATAGGCCAAATCAATGAAAATTAGGAGGATGGATCAAATTAGCTTGTAAATACATAAGACTATTATTGGTTGGCCAAAAAAATATCAAGGACAAATGTGTCCATTGCAACATGGGGCAGAATCATCAGAAAGAGGAAAGAAGAAGAATTGTACATGAGATTGAAGTGGATAAAATTGCAATTTGAACGAATGGAAACGAAACGATATGAAAAATTAACGTTATGATCATGATTAGCTATTTAGCTTTGGATATAAACATTTAGCTCCTGTTTGTTTCCTATTATTTACTCATTAAAATGAAAAATATGACCATTATCTATCACATCAAACTACCATATTTGAAAATTTATCTCTTGTGTGGGGTCCGTAATGACTATATTTTTCATTTTTATTCTTATATTAATATGGCTCAAACGGGGTTAATTAAAAGTGGGTGTGGAATGGAGGTATATTTGACATATAGCTAAATATATAAGGATAAAATTGATATTCAAAAGTTTTTTTTTCTCAATCCTTCTTTTTTATATATGGTAGATAATGTCAAACATATAACGAATAAATTGTGACAGGGGCGTGAGTAGTGGCTTGAGGGTAGTGATGGCAAAAAACCCATCCCGAACGGGTTGGCGGGACAGGGAAAGGCGGGGCGCCCCGTCGCGGGGCATGGGGCAGGGGTTGGGCGAGGAAGCCTCGCCCTCGTGAAGGGGAAAAAAGAAAAAAAGATTAAAAATAATTTTATTTCAAAACAATTCACCCGTTAAAATCCATTTTAAATTTGTATTTTATTTTTTAATAATGACATAACTCAAAATTTTGAAAATATAAAAAAATAAAAACATAAAAAAATTAAACAGGGCAAAAAGTTGCTCCATCCCCGTCCCGTCCCGTTCTGTTGCCATCCTTACTGAAGGGTGCATTTAATGGATCATTACAGTTAACAATGTTGTAATAAACTCTCATGCTTCTTGTTTGAGCAAGCTACAATAAAAAGATTGAGAAATATTATTATTAAGTGATTTGGAGTTTGATTTATAGTTACTATTAATAATTGATCTTTATTCATGCTAACAAGAAAAACAATTCAAGTCTAAACATGTTTATTTGAAAAATAAATTTTAAAATTGTATCAAAATTAGAAATAAGGTAACTACTTATTTTGAAGTTAATGTAAAAAAATAAAAATAAAAAATTACTCTATAGTAGGTGAAATTCACTTATGATTAAACTAAGTGAATATTTTTGAAAATTACTTGACATCCGAACGGCTATCAACAAGTACTTAACTAAATTTTTTGCAATTTAGCATGCCCCGATTATATAGTGTCACACTCGATCGATATAAACAATGCAAATTTTATTTGATTAAAAAAAAAAACTCATTGAATCTTTTCAAGTAGGGGAAAAGAAAACAAGAACGGTAATATCAATTTATATAATCACGAAACAAAAACGAGAACATCAATTTATATAGGCAATATAATACGAGAATGTCGATTTGAATATAATGTCGAATGCACAATAAATTAAATATTCAATACTTCAATCGGTTGAAAAAAGTTTTCAATAACTGTGACGTTAGTCTATAGTTATAATAAGTGGGACGAGTCAAACAACAACTTGATTGAACAAATAGTCTCGCACTTGACTTGTTCTATAAACGAGTACGAGCAAATTAAGCCCTTGTTTGAGCCCATTCTTTTAATAAGAATGAATTTTTGAACAGTGCGTTGATGAGAAATGTGTGGTTAAAAAATCAGAAATTTTTTTGAATTTGCATGTAATATTATTTTATTGAAAAATGTGTGGTTGAAATAATGTTAAAAAAGTAGGGATAACAAAAAAACTCGTTTAACTCGATTCCCGTGGGCCCCCGAATGGAATTCATAATACTCGCCTAACCGGCTACATGGGATGGGTATGGGGCGCGGGTCATTGTCCCGAAGTGTGTATGGGATAGGTAGGAGAAACATTTCCCCGCTCCATTATCCGTCCCATTTAATATTAATTTCAAATTTAAGTTTTTATCAAACAAAAATAATAGATTTATCATCCTTTTTAAAGAGAAAATAAGTTGTTTCTAACAAATTGGTAAAAAAGTAATACTATTTACTAATTAAGGACATAAAAAATAAAATTAAAAAATTAAAAAGAAAAAATAAATGTCGCGATAAATGGGGCAAGAGACTTGCCCCGCCCCGTCCCGCTTTAATCGGGTGTGGGTATGAGATAATATAACAAAAATACCCGACGGAATGGGAGTGGAAATGGCCAAATCTTCCCATACTCACCCCATTGCCATCCCTAGACTAAACTTGCCCCCATTTATAAACTTCCAGAAAAAGTTTTTACAGAGGCTCTACATGCCTCTCATAGTAGAGGAGGCAGTATTTTTTGTGCAGTTTTTAATTATATGGGGCTGACGTGGGATCCACACTCACATGTGAGTGCCCTGTGCACTACCTATCAAAATCAACTATGTACGTCCAATAATGCTAGGTGTCCAGAAATGTTATTACAGAAGCTTTATAGAATTTTGAAAATAGCTGACGTGGAAAAAAAGGGTAGAAAAAGGGAGGGAAATCTGGTGGCACTAAAAAATTCAACAAAAACACCCGCATTGCTATTTTCCACTTTGTTTCCCCGAATAGAAGCCCGAAAGAAATGGAAAAATGCTTGCAAAGAAGCCGTATACATCTACAAGAAAAAATTCCCTACTCCATTTTCCTTTGTATTTCCCTAAATAGAAGCTCGCATTTTCGGTTATAACACTTGCAGCTTGAGATTTCCCCACGCCCATTTGTATTTCCCCAAAAAGAAGCTCACATTTTCGACTGAAACACTTGCGGCGCGAGCTGACCCGACGCCCATTGCAGCAAATTGTTTCCCTCTCCGAAACAAGCTCACATTTTCAGTCGAAACACTTGCAGCGTGAGCTGACCCGACGCCCAACCTAGCAGAGATTGTTTCCCTCTCCGACCGAACAGCGTAGGAATTTGTTCCGAAGCCACATTGTGAATGTCCCATTTCGGAGTGTCTTCCAACCGCGAATCATATACGATGAGAAATGATGCGGTAGACTTTAGTAATAGTGTGCATTTGTTATGTGTAACTTTCCAATTAGTGTTACCTAGAAATGTATAAAACGTATGTTGATTAATGCGGACATTGCCAACCTTGAGGTTTTGTTAGAGATCAAATTGTCTGAGAAGTGGGTGGTCAAAAATTAAATTATGGCGTCTTGCTCTGCTTACAAGTATATTTTTTGGAATCTTAATTTATAACACCAATTGAATTTTAATGGTCCTCCTGTGTGAGAGCTTTGTTCTCTCTGTGGTAGATCTGCTCCATATTTTCAATATGTGAAAGCCTTTAATATTGTTACTTATCACCTTATATTTTAGGATCAATCATACAAAATAATTTGAATTCGAAAATGGAGATATATATTAAGTAATGTTGTCTAAAAAATTAATGCATTATAAACTTTCTGTAGATTTTGATCTGCTGGAGTTGCTATTCAGGTTGGACCTTCTTCTCACATTAACTGGTAATTGATTTGAATTATGTTAACCTTAATGGATTAACATTTTTTTGTGGCAGCATGCATTAGGATCAAATTATAATCAATATTTGCTACTAGTAAAATCAATTGATAAATATGAAGATGTATTTTCTTCCTGAAAGTGAAACCTACAGTGTTATCAAAATAATTTCCTCTAATGAAAATGAAAATTTTCACACCACGAATACATCTAATAGTTATATATACATTAGTGTTATTCAAGTAACGCTTGGAAATTTCAGCTTCACAGATGGTAGATATGCAAGGCAACTCTTATTTTGCTCACGCGTGCCACTCTCCCCAAACAATTATTACGGTTTTATTTGGAAATGCTAAACTGTGTGACTGATCTTGGAAGTGCTATTCCCAATATAAACAAGTACAAACTATATCGACATTTATCTTGTTTGTGTGGTTCTGAGGAAAAATATGGTAATTTAGTTTTAAAATTGACTGTATTGCTGTTATATGCAGTTTTTCTATAAAATCATAATTCTTTTGCTTATTATGTAGGCTTCATGCAAAATCATAACATTGGGTACTCGCATTAGAACAAAGAATCCAAAATTGAGAGTGAGCAACAACATTTGAAATGGAGAAGCGATTTCAGTCTGCTTACACTATTTTGAAGTTCAAGAAAGTGCAAGAGGAGTTCACAAGAAAGATGTACTGTGATGTCACTTCAGTCACAGAAGGGTGTTTTGGGACGACTTACGAGGTTCGGGAGTTTGTGAACTGCCTTGGGGGTAGGAAGAAGAAAACATACAATATCTCGTATCGAAACGACACATGTGAAGTTATTTGCAGCTGCCATTTGTTTGAGTTTCGAAGAATTATATGCAGGCGTGCGATCACCGTCTTAGACTGTAATGACATCACAGAAATGCCAGAGAGGTATATAGTGCGGAGATGGCGAAGTGATGTCAGTAGAACACATACAAGGGTTCCCGTGAAGTACGTTGGGCTGGTTAGCACTCCTGAACAAACGAGGTACGATGACATGTTCAGGCATTTGTAGAGGTGGCAGACCTTGCTTGCGCTGACGACGTGCGATTATGGATTGGATAAAATGTCAAGCTGCAGAGTTACGGTCTTTGAATTCTAGTTGTGGCAATAATGTTATTTCGCAGGCTACTAGTCACATAGCGAGCCAAAGTAATGATTCACAAAATACCGCCACCACAAGCATATTAGATCCCAAATTATCGAACAGGAAGGGGGCACCAAGAAAACTTCGAAAAAAGGGCTCGTTGGAGTCGACTTTGAAAAAAGCGAAGGTATGTCATTGTACTAAACCCTTTAATCATAAAGGATCTCAATTACAAAATCATTTAATGTTCGATTTATATGTAGATTGCTTCGACTAAATGCAAAGGGAAGAGACCAAATGATAGTCATTTTCCCGTGGAAGCCGCTGCACCGGTTGTGCATATCACTCCAGAACTTCAATGTTTGCAACCAACACCATTCTCATATTCCTAGCTATTGTTGGTATGTTTATGGATTTTTCCTAGTTTTAAGTTGATGAATGTGCGTTTACGTTCTTATTTGATGTAGGGGGATTCCATGAGCCAAATGTTTACCCAACAACTACCTTCGTCTACTTTGATCCCCCCTCGTCGACTAATGCCACAATTCAATTTCAATCCTCGGGTCCGTACTTTGCTCCACCACCTTTTCCGCAGCAAGGTGCTACATTTATCGGAATGGGTGAAGTTGGGTTAAATTCCGATCAGGTGAAAGTTTTACTTCTTGTTCGTTTCTTGAGAATGTAATTTTTCATTTCTTTTAAAGTTTATCAATTAATTATCTCCTAATGTTCACCATTCGGCAATTTTTCAGAGCCCAAAAAGATATGCATGCTTACTCAATATGAAAAGCAATTAGGATAAATTTCATAAGTAGATGAATGCACACAAATTCTCAAACTTTGGATGTTTGGCATCATATGTCTCAATTAGTGATGAATCAAACAGACAACTCCATCGACAGATTGTGTCTTGTTTCAACTCTTGTTTTTGGTCCTTCAACCTTTGTACATTTCATTTCTGTTAATTTCCCCTAAGAATAGGGACCCCTGTCTGCTACTTTTTCTCTTTTATTTTCCTCGATATTACAATTTCTAAAGCTTGAAAAGAACAGGACCTTTCTTATTCTTGGCATGTTTTTCCGATTCTCTTATATTATTTTTATAATTTTGGCCTTGTTTAGTTAATATAAATCGTTTATTTGTAACCTTATAAACAAGACTTCTATATTTCTAATTTATAGGAATATAGAAGTTATACAAGTCTAATCATGAGTTCCCTTATTAGCAAATAAGTAATAAAAGAAGTAATCTTTTAAAGTAATAAAAAGTTATGCATCAAAAACTTGTTTGGGGAAAAAAAAGGTTACTCAAAGTAACTTGTATTTGAAAGAAAAATCACCTGTTCGACCCCCCAGCCACGACTAAAATGGCGCATATTTTAGCATTTTCTGATAGACTTTTCATTTTGTATCCTTTTTGTGTTCTGGTTTTTTTACTTACACCAAAATGTTATTTTCTAGTCTATGATTATGAAATTGAAATATGGACATCCAGCAGATTAGCCACAGCTAGTTGTGTAACATGTAAGCAAAATATGGAGTCTAAATTTTTAGCTTTTGTTGAAGGGGTCCTTGATTTTAAGCTTAAAAGGGTGGTTTTGGTTTAACGATTTTTAAATTAGACTTGTGGCCTGGCACTCTTGATTGTGCCCATGTATTGTTTAGTGCCTTTAGTGGTAGAGGATACTGTTTAGAAGTAATATTTGTAAAGTATGCGATTTAGAAATTGTGATGGAAAAGAATTATGATTTAATAATTGTAAGAGCTTGAAACACATTTATTTATTTAAACTGTCCTCTAAGATAGCATTTCAATTATGTATTTGTTTGAGGTTAGTGAAAGGGAAGGAAACCAATCCATTGTATGAGGAACATCATCCACTGCGAGGAATGGTCTGAAGGCCTTGCTGTTATTCTACAATTTTGAGGCCAATTCTTTAAAATTTATATTTCCCAATACTCAAATCTGAATAATTTTGCTTATGAACGGTCAAGTGCTGTTTAAGATTTGAATTGTTGGCAGCACTTAACATGATCATAAACTAGAGAAAAATGGAGCCGCCTTGTCTTTCAAGTCTTTTTTTCTTGTACTCTTTGAGAGAAGGTTATCCACGTTGTAGCTAATATGTCCGATTCTGTGATTTCCTTTTCATTAATTTATTAATGAAGTGTGTTTGAACATACAAGATTTATCTGTGTACTATTTTGGTGGGGTTCACATGGGGCTAATTTCTTGTCACTGTCTTTTTTATCAGGTCATTGCCGCAAATTCTTCCCAAGGAGCTTCACAAGTTGCAAATCAGTCTTCTACCCTCCCCTATGATCGGCCTCTGTTGTATGATTAGAACAATGACAGACGCTCGTATGACAAGTGAAATCCTGGAGGAAGACATAACAAATGAATGTTGTATTGGTCGAACAGGGGTTTTCCCACAAGATTGGAGTAGTATTTTGTAGTGGTTGAACAGTCTTCTGCCTTCCCCTATGATCAGCCTCTGCTATGTTATTACCATTTGTTGTCATCCTGTGTATTTTAAGTTTGTGTTCTCCATAGTATTTTGGACTCGGACATTATTATGAGTAATAAAATCTTTATCTTCCATTGGCCATTCATTTGTTTGTTGGATGAGATTGCAAGATATACAAGGTCACCAACCAAGACAAAAACCATAATATTAATAAATTCCGAGCAAATCCAAAAACCATAACATTAATAAACAAGGATTGCATTCACCAACCAGGATAACCTACAAGTCATACTTTCCACAAAGAAGAAAATCCTACTGCTACACCACAGATTCCATAGACTACCAACAATTGAACTACAAAACATCATAATGCCAACACAATATAGCCAAAGTATGAGTTATCTCTACAAAACATATTTTCACCATGTCATTAAAGGATCATATTGGACAACATTTATCCAACAGGAAAGAAACCATTGTATCAGAAACTTCGAAAACTGGCTATATGATAAACATCAATCGTGGGCTTCTCTTTTGCCATTCATGTCCTCGCTTCGCTTTCCCTTACGAAATGTCACGTTCAATGAGATCTCAATATCTCGTTTTTCAGCTATTCGAGCCAAACTGTCGAACATGCTTGGCAAGTCATCGACTTCTTCGATAGCCGGAGGATGAAATGCCTCATTAATAGTACTCGATTCTCCACTTCCTTCTTCATTGACGACCCAATCAAAATATCCACACTTACTACTACAGGTTCTGAATAATCGCCCTTTATTACTAGTCGTCCTTTCAACCTCAAAACACATCTCCAATCCGAGTGCGCACCATGGACATTGTCATTTTACTCGGCAATCAATAAAGGAGTGCTTCGTGCTTCTACAACTGTGACAAATGCCAACATTCCATCCTCCCATCCTACCCGACAAATCAAAAAAACAAATTCAATGTCATTACTACACAAACTAATATGCAGACAACTATATAAATCGTTACACTGCAAGCTTAACATACACCGCAGACCACATATTTCAGCAAAATCGGCGATTTTCGAGCAAAACATTTCACATTATGAAATGCAGTTCGTAGGAAGCATTTTTTGGTTATATGAACGCCACTTCCGGAGGCAAATTACTCTATATTATTATAGAAACTTTCCCAATTCAGAAACAACATTGATAATCAGTTCAAGATGAAGAACAATGTCACTTGTTCTAACTGTATAATTTCCATGTAATTATAAGATGATTCCATATGTAGCAAGAAGAAAGGTGCAAGTGCAATCTCAAACACACCTTCTGTGTGTCGTTGCTCGGAGGTCGTTCTGAGGACAGCGATTTTGGACGATGGAGACGTACTAAGCTAGAGATGAGTGTAGCGTATGTGGACGAAGATGATGGTCGGATGTCGACTGCGATGGTTTTGACCTAGGCAACGGCTTCGAGCGGTTAAGATTTCGGGGAGTTACAATTGGAGAGCAGGGGAAGCATGAGGGGCGTTCGATTTGGGTTTGTATAACACTATGGCGTTGTGGATGGAGGCGCCGAACAGAGTTCGATCGACATTTTCTTCGCGTGATTTCTAGGGCTTTAGGAGGAGAAGGGAGATTACGAATCAGGAATGATTGCATTTATTTTGGGCAGGAATTGTTTATTTATTTATTCTACAATAATGCCACATCATTCTATTGACGCCCTGTGAGATCCTCTTTCTGTAAGTGTAGCACGATTGATACATGTCTGGTTTTATTCTTTATCACGAGTGGGTTCAATATCCAAAAGAAAAAGAAAAAAACATTTATTTTTGTCACTTATATAAGCAAAACAAAAATAGACGGCAACCAAAATGGTGTGTTTCAGATCCAAAGTGGTTGAACTCACATGAACCACGAGCGACTTCACGTATAACATGCAACAGATCCACGTATCCATCTTTCGTTTCAGGTAGTTTGCTCTATAAATCTTAATGAAACATGCTTTGAATCCTTAATCCTGAGTATTCCTCATATTCTTGAATTTTTCCCTCCAAAATAAAACTTGAAGCTGTTCTTTTTTTGGTGAAATGCAGCAGAAGAATCTAGGAATTGTTTTTTTTTTGCCCTTTTTCTTTTCTGAGAGGGTGTAACTTGAGCAATTGTGGTTAGTTCAAGACTCGACAATTTTAAGGTTTAATTTTTTCGAGAGATTCCTCAAATGCTTGATTTAAAAGTGAAGTAAGTTTTTGAAGTTCAAGATTTTATAGGGTTCTTTTGTGTGACCTGTGTTCGTAAGTTTTTTTAGGCACCCTTGTTTCCCTGAATAAAAATTCTTGATTTTGGGTTTCCGTCGGGGAAAAAAAATTAGGATTTCACTTTTTTGGGTTGAATTCTCAGTTTTGAGGTTTTCAACAAGTTATTTTTGTAGGTAACTTGAGGTTTCCAGATTCTAAGATTTGAAGTTTAAAATCTAGGGACTTTATTGATACAAGTGGTCTTTTAGAAAGAACCTCAATTGTAACTTTTTTAAGATTCTGGGTGTATTTTTTCATTTTGGGGGAAAAACCAAGTACTTCTGACTTCTGAATTAGGTTGTAAAATTTGAGGATTGTGTGAGATTTTAGTCTCTCTAGTCAATTTCTGAAAATTGAATTCTGTTGCACCGTTCTTGAGGGCACTGATTTTGCGAAGTGTTGAAAGATGGCGGATAAGTTTTGGTTAAATGAAGAGGATAAATCTATGGTGGAAGGTGTTTTAGGCAGCGAAGCCACCGAATACTTTGTGTGGTCGGCTTCAAATAATGTGTTGTCAGAGTTCACTGGCTTGAGTGGAGATCTGGGAGTCCTTCAGGGTCTGTGCAAGATTGTTGAAGGGTCAGATTGGACTTATGCCATCTATTGGAAAGTAGCAAAATCGAAATCTTGTAAATCAGCCTTGATATGGGGGGATGGGCATCTTAAAGAATCAAAGGAAGGTGAGGATAAAGATGGAATTTCATCTGATAGTCAAAAAACAGCTGAAGGAGACCGGAAAAAACTAGTGCTTCTGAAGATTCTCGCGTGTTTTGGGCGATCGAATAATGATAAGATGGTTGCTAAGTTGGATCGGGTTTCTGATGTTGAGATGTTTTATCTCACGTCGATGTACTTTGCATTTCCCTTCGATAAGCCCTCAATTCCTTCCCAGTCATTTAATTCTGGCAGATCAATTTGGGTTTCTGATGTGAAAAGCTGTTTAGAACACTATCAGTCGAGATCATATTTAGCAAAATCTGCTCATTTGGAGACGGTGGCGTTTATTCCATTGAAATCAGGAGTTGTGGAGATTGGTTCCATTAACTCGATTCCCGAGGACCAGAATGTCATTAAGTTGGCAAAATCTATAGTCTGCAAACCAAACTCAATTCAGCCAAAAGTTAATCCCAAAATATTCGGGCAAGAACTCAGTCTTGGGGGTTCCAAATCAGGTCCTATCAGCATAAATTTTTCACCGAAGATGGAAGATGATTCTGGTTTTTCTTCAGAACCGTACGATGTACAAATAGGCAGTGCTCGAGTTTATGGGAACTCGTCAAATGGGCACCACAGTGATGAAGGTGAAGCAAAACTGTTTCCGCAGATGAACCAGATTATTGTCAGGGGATCAAATGCCCAAGATATGGTTTCTAGTATGGATCAAACTATTGAGGATTCTTTACTTCTTGGTGATGACCGAAAGCCTAGAAAGAGAGGCAGGAAGCCCGCCAATGGGAGGGAAGAACCACTGAATCACGTGGAAGCGGAAAGACAGAGACGTGAGAAGCTTAATCAGCGTTTTTACGCATTAAGAGCTGTGGTGCCAAATATCTCAAAGATGGACAAGGCGTCTCTACTTGGTGATGCGATTGCCTATATCACAGATCTTCAGACAAAGATAAGAATCTTGGAAGCTGAGAAAGAGATGGTGAGTAATATGCAAAAGAATGATGATATCCCTGAAATGGATTTCTATGAAAGGCACAATGATGCAATTGTACGAGTGAAATTCCCCTTAGATTCTCACCCGGTATCTCGTGTTGTAAAGACACTGAGGGAGCATCAAGCTGTCGTCCAAGAATCGAATGTTTCCATATCCGACACTGGTCAGGTGGTTCATACTTTCTCTCTTGAAACTTTGGGTGATACTGCTGAACAATTGAAGGAGAAGTTGACTTCTGCTCTCTCCAAATGATCCAGCCGTAAAGTTGCATTTTGTAAGCTGTATTTTTTCATTATACTCTGTCTTTCTGGTAGTTTGACAGGAATGCCTCGTTTTGATACCGATGAGCGCGTTTGCCTGCATATAATTAGTATAAGTAGTTGCTACCAAGCTAAGTTATACTCTTGCATCTGATTATGCTACTGTATTGGCTAAGTGTTGGATTGTTCTTCACTGCATATTCTCTCCTGTTTAGTCACTTGTTTGGACTCTTGTAAAGTCGCAAGTATCGTCATGTCGGAATTTTTGGCATCGGGAAAGGCTTAGAAACATATTATAAGTGTCCGGAACATATGGAAGTTACCGTACTGGAAAAATCGAGACCCCCAAAATTCTCCAGGAGAAATTATGAAACTTAGAATCGATATGGAGGATGATTGAATTTCTTCTGCATGCTGTCTCTTTGTGATTTAGTTTTCATTTCTTTTAACTTGCTTGCATATCAACTTGAATTTAGTCTTTTGTTCACTCAAATCGTAGGGGTTCTAAGACTAGTTATTCTGCTGGCTATGTTTCCTCTCGGCCATCCCCTTCTCTTCGAGTCATTTTGTTAAAGCTGAAACATCGTTGTGAATGTACTGCAAAATGATCGTGAACTTATTTTATCTTTCTTGAACTTCATTGTCGTGTATTTGGTATCAGATTCTTTTATGATTAATGAGGAAACTATGCTAAATTTTATGGATTTATAATCTTGTCAGTTAAATGGAATGAGCACCACACACGGGAGTATTTTGTTCCATGTGAATATAAAAAACGTACGACTTCCGACCAACAAAACTGCAGTACAAAAAATTTAAGCCGTGGTGAAGACTAGGAGTTCAAGATTAAACTATTGAGTGAGCTCTCGTTATACTTCACGTCATCGTGTGATGTGACATTGAGATTGGGTGCCGGTTCCTCCTTATACGTATGCTGATGAAAATATAATTAAATAAATTGATGATTGAATTCTATAATCTGTATGTGCTTCTTATGCTCTTCATCATCATATGATGTGGTATTGAGTTTGGTTGCCGGTTACTCCTTATATGTATGCTGTTCAAAAAAAAAAAAAGAAAAAAAAAGAAAAAAAAAACGGAAAAATGAATTTGTATTTTACGTATTCATAAATTTGATGACAGGATTTGATTCTTGACTAGAAGGATTTCATAAGAAAAAAAGATAAAGGTGCTAGGGGGCGATGTGCCCTCCCCCCAAGGAGGTGGGGTGCCGCATCATCTAGTGATGGCAAAAAATTCTGCCCGCTCCTTCCCGCCCAAAATGGGGTCAAAAAAATTCGTCCCGACAGGTTGGTGGGACGGCGCCTGCCCGTAAAGAGAAAAAAAAATTAAAAATAATATTATTTTTGGACAATTCACACATTAAAAATCCATTTTGAAGATGGCAGAGACCATTTTCATTATGAAAATGATAGCAAATATGTACTATTTTGCATTTTGCTTTGGAGGTTCAAGCATTCAGATTAATAATACACACGACAATATTATCATTGCTTTAGCACTAATTGAGAATCTATACAACTTACTTTATTATTATTATTATTTTTATTTTGATACTCAGGTGTCTATCTTACAGCGACTAATCTTGGGGCCTACGATCCGCGCCCCTTTTCACGCAGACCAAGTAAATCGCGGGTTGTACTCCAAAATAGTCAAGGTCCAAAAGTCCTCCCAACTGACGATACAACTTACTTGTTGATATGCATGTAAGCAGAGAACAGTAACAAAGGATCTAGTGTAAATCTGTTTGATGTTCAAACCCTGTAAAGAAAATAATATGATAATCAATTTCTACCTTTTTATTGTTTCTTATTTTGATCAAGCATATGAAATATGCTCATCATTAAAGTCATAACGAAAATGAATTATAAGTATTTTCACTCCTGAGATTTACTTACAGTAGTTTCAATGAAAGTAGGGGTAAACTTAATTCCTTCCATGAATATAATTGCAGGGGCCAGCAAGAAAAATGATATAATTGTGATTATCGAGAAGAGAGTAATGTTGTTCCAAAAAATAAAAAAGGGGCAAGGCGGCGTTGTAGGGGCCAGCAAGAAAAATGTTATAATTGTGATTATCGAGAAGAGAGTAATGTTGTCCCAAAAAATAAAAAAAGGGGTAAGGCGGCGGCTTGCCATCCCCATCATCCAAGAAGAACAGGGCCGATATGGCCCTGTTCATCTAACACGGTCTAAAGATAAAACTATGCTTAGGTTTATCTAAGAGGCATTAATATGTACCACATAATTTTAGAAAATTATATTCCAATTTCAGAATAGGAAAATGGACAGAAAAAAGGGATTCCCTCACTAATGCCCCGCTATTTATTTTTTATTTTTTCTTTCTGCTCTAATTTGCTTTGAGAGGAAATTATTCAAATTGTGAAATGCTAGCATCAAATTAATTGGAAATAACTAAAGGCTTGTTTTTACGTTACATTGAACAAGCTTGAAAAAGATGAGACAAATATTTTATCTCATTTCATCTTGTTCAGTTGCTTGCATTGCAAAATATCAAACATTTTTTCCAAGAATAGTAATAGAAATAGTAGTGGTTTCAACTTATTATGAACATGTGAATATTGAAATTAAAGTTTGATTTTGAATGAATTTATAAATGATTTATAAATTTACATACAAATGGGGGTTAAGCTATTGAATGGAATTGGTCGATTATATTATTTTAGCTTTTCAAAATGCTAAATCCAACATTTATTTTTATTTTTTTTCTTTGGTTGAATGACGGTTGATACCGCATCATTAATATATTAAATGTTGGGAAAAAATGGATGATTTGTGTGTAGATTGATTATCAATTAACATATAAAATAATAAATACAATTCAACAATAATGTAACGTAAAATAGAGAAAGATATAGAAAGCAAACTTTGAAAGTCACGTCAAAGACATTGTCCTAAAGTCTTGTTGTCTCTCTTAGTGTAGGTACTTTCGGCACTACATAATTTCAAGATAAAATTCACAAGGCTTACAACTGGTTCTCTTTTTATGGACACGACCATAGAGAGAAATAAAAAAATGAGCATTTATCGAATTGTCAAAATATAGGAAAATATTATGAAATATAGGTATAGTTATTTTTTCAAATTATGATTTTTCATGTTATCGATTTCAATAAAAACCCCTCCATTTTATAATGATAAATTTAACCCCTACAATCATATCATCAATATGCAAGTTACAATATCACTACTTTTTTTATTTTTTATCAAGGTGTCCGCCTTCGACGACTATTTCTTGGGTCTGTGATCCGACCCCTCTTCACACAGACCAATTAAACCGCGGGATGTGCCTCCTACTGACAGGGTCCGAGCGTCTCTCCAACTGAACTGCCAAAGTGCTTATTGAGTCAACCCATGTTTCGCCTTGCCTTCCAAGAGCCCCACGAATCGAACCCACGACCTTTGAATTGCCAGCCTTGAGAGAACCCTTCCTTTGCCAGTGGAGAAGTGTCCCGGGAGGCTTTTTTTTCCTTTGCCAGTGGCCCCCGGGGGTTTTTTTTTTTTTTTTTTTTTTTCACTACACTAATTAAAAGAGAGGATAGGGCCTTTCATTGTTCATTTATGAGACTTAGTTTTCACACCTAAACTGGTTCTACTGTTCACTATCTGGCTTGGCAAGTGGTCTGGGAAATAGGAAAGTGGCTTTTCACTGTTACCCATATATTCAAACCTTCGGTGACTTCGTTTTCTCTCAATTATTCGATGATCTGATAAAATTTTCAGCAAATGCTTGATAAAATTCTCCACAAATCTCAACTATAGTCGACAAAATCGAATTTTCAGAATACCCTTTTGTTTTTCTTCTGCAAGGAGTGCTTTGAACATCATTTTCCGGAGATTTTCTGAGAAAATTTCGGAGCAAGAATTGAGAAATTTTCAGGCAAATAAATAGGAAGATATACAGAGACTCTGTATCTGTATAAAGGCAACGAAGTTTGCACGAGTCGAAGATAATTTTGTAAGTTTCCCTTTTCTATCTTGGTTTGTTTAAAAACTTTTTATAAACTATTTGTAAATGTCTATTTTTCGGATCTTATTTCAATTGTACAAACAACAACCGTTGACAAACTGGAAGAATTCAGCCAAAAGTAGAAGAGTTGATGCCAGACAAACTTTATGTCCAAACCAAACATATTCCATTTCTGAAAATTTGTTCTTCTAATTTTTTCTTGGTCCTTAGTGGTCTTATTCTTGAATTATAGACCTACTGATGCCGAAAAACATTATTACTTTGATGTACAAAAGGTATATTCTTGATTTATATATTTTTGTTCTTTGTATAGGGATCTCAATGGATGTTACTTGGAAGGAGTATTAGCACCAGAGCTTGGAAATCTCTCTCATTTACGATTTCTGCGAGTGTTAAATTTGTTTTTTGTGCAATCTTTTGTTCAAGTTGCAAGTTTTCAGCTTACAGTTCCTCAAATCATTTGGAAAGTAAATAAAGACATAACATCCCCCATCAATTTGACTTTTTTTGCTTCGACTTGAAGTTTCCCCGTGTAACAACCTTAACAGCTGACTAAATAGAAGTACTAGATAGTAACACCTTATTTTTTATTTGCAAAAATAAACTTAAACAATACCTCCGCATGGCTAATTATTCATCATATAGATTAATTGTTTTTATGTCCTAACTTTGATGACTTTTGTCTAGCTTTATTTGGAAGAGAGAACATTGTCTGTGAATCTTGATTGTGGTTATCTTTCCTGTAGATGGGTCATAAATAGACTCTATATTTATAAATAGCATCTTATGCATAATAGA